AGCCAGAGAGGCAAACCACAAAGGCAAAACAAAGGCAAAGCCAGAGAGGCAAACCACAAAAGCAAGCCAGAGAGGCAAACCACAAAAACGGCAAGCCAAGGAGAGGCAAACCACAAAGCAAGCCAGAGAGGCACCACAAAGGCAAGCCAGAGAGGCAAACCACAAAGCAAGCCAGAGAGGCAAACACAAAGCAGCCAGAGAGGCAAACCACAAGCCCAGAGCCACAAGGCAAGCCAGAGAGGCAAACCACAAAAGCAAGCCAGAGAGGCACAAAGGCAAACACAAAAACAAAGGCAAGCCAGAGAGGCAAACCACAAACCACAAAGGCAAACCCAGAGAAGAGCAAACCACAAAAGCAAGCCAGAGAGGCAAACCACAAAGGCAAAGCAAGGCAAGCAGAGAGGGAGGCAAGCCAGAGAGGCAAACCACAAAAGCAAGCCAAGGCAAGCCAGAGAGGCACAAGCCCACAAAAGCAAGCCAGAGAGGCAAACCACAAAAAGCAAAGCCAGAGAGGCAAACCACAAAGGCAGCCAAGAGCAAACCACAAGGCAGCCAGAAGAGGCAAACCCCAAAGGCAAGCCAGAAGAGGCAAACCACAAAAGCAAGCCAGAGAGGCAAACCAACAAGCAAACCACAAGGCAAGCCAGAGAGGCAAACCACAAAGGCAAACCAACAGAAGGCAAGCCAGAGAGGCAAACCACAAAAGCAAGCCAGAGAGGCAAACCACAAAGGCAAAGCCACAAAAGGCAAGCCAGAGAGGCAAACACAAAGCAAGCCCAGAGAGGCAAACCACAGCCAGAGAGGCAAAACCACAGCAAGCCAGAGGAGGCACCACAAAGGCAAGCCAGAAGTCCAGAGAGGAGGCAAACACAGCAAGAGGCACAAAAAAGCAAGCCAGAGAGGCAAACCACAAAGGCAAACCAACAAAGGCAAGCCAGAGAGGCAAAAACACAGAAGGCAACCAAACCAAAAGGCAAGCCAGAGAGCAAACCACAAAAGCAAGCCAGAGGGCAAACCACAAAGGACCCAAAAGCAAGCCAGAGAGGCAAACCACAAAGGCAGCCAGAGAGCAAACCACAAAGGCAAGCCAGAGAGGCAAACCAAACAAAAGCAAGCAGAGAGGCAAACCAACAAAGGCAAACCACAAAGGCAAGCCAGAGAGGCAAGGCCAGAGAGGAGCAAGCCAGAGAGGCAACCACAAAGGCAAACCACAAAAAGCAATAGGCCACAAAGGCCAGCCAGAGAGGCAAACCACAAAGGCAAGCCAGAGAGGCAAACCAAAAGGCAAGCCAGAGAGGCAAACCACAAAAGCAAGCCAGAGAGGCAACCACAAAAGCAAGCCAAGAGGCAAGAAGGCAAACCACAAAAGCAAGCCAGAGAGGCAAAACACAAAGGCAAGCAGAGAGGCAAACCCAAAGCAAGAGAGAGGCAAACCAAAAGGCAAACCACAAAGGCAAGCCAGAGAGGCAAACCACAAAAGCAGCCAGAGAGGCAAACCACAAAGGCAAACCACAAAGGCAAGCCAGAGAGGCAAACACAAAAAACACAAAGGCAAGCCAGAGAGGCAAACCACAAAGAAGCCAGAGAGGCAACCACAAAGGCACAGCAAGCCAGAGAGGCAACCACAAAGGCAAGCCAGAGAGGCAAACCACAAAGCAAGCCAGAGAGGCAAACCAAAACAAAAGGAAGGCAAACACAAGGCAAGCCAGAGAGGCAAACCACAAAAGCAAGCCAGAGAGGAAACCACAAAGGCAAACCACAAAAAAGCAAGAGAGGCAAACCACAAAAGCAAGCCAGAGAGGCAAACCACAAAGGCAAAGCACAAGGCAAGCCCAGAGAGGCAAAACCACAAGAGGCAAACCACAAGGCAAGCCAGAGAGGCAAACCACAAAAGGCAAGCCAGAGAGGCAAACCACAAAGGGCAAAAGAGGCAAACCACAAGGCAAGCCAGAGAGGGCAAACCACAAAGCAAGCCAGAGAGGCAAAAGCAAGCCAGAGAGGCAAAACACAAAAAAAGAGAGGCAACCAAAAGCAAGCCAGAGAGGCAAACCACAAAAGCAAGCCAGAGAGGCAAACCACAAAAGCAAGGAGGCAAACCACCACAAAAGGCAAAAGCAAGCCAGAGAGGCAAACCACAAAGGCAAGCCAGAGAAGGCAGAACCACAAAGCAAGCCAAGAGAGGCAACCACAAAGGAGCAGCCAAGAGGCAAACCACAAAAGCAAGCCAGAGGAGGCAAGCAAGCCAGAGAGGCAAACCACAAAGGCAAACCACAAAGGCAAGCCAGAGAGGCAAACCACAAAAAGCAAGCCAGAGAGGCAACCACAGGCAAACCACAAAGCAAGCCAGAGAGCAAAACCAAGCCAGAGAGGCAAACCACAAAGCAAGCCAGAGTAGGCCACAAAGGCAAGCCAGAGAGGCAAACCACAAAAAGCAAGCCAGAGAGGCAAACCACAAAAGCAAGCCAGAGAGGCAAAGGCAAACACAAGGCAAGCCAGAGAGGCACAAGAGAGGCAACCACAAGGCAACCACAAAAAGCAAGCAGAGAGGCAAAACCACAAAGGCACAAGGCAGCCAGAGAGGCAAACCACAAGGACCAAAAAGCAAGCCAGAGAGGCAAACCACAAAGGCAAGCAAGCCAGAGAGGCAAACCACAAAGGCAAGCCAGAGAGGCAAACCACAAAACAAGCAGAAGGCAAACCACAAGGCAAGCCAGAGAGGAGGCAAACACAAAAGCAAACAGAAGAGCAAACACAAAGGCAAGCCAGGAGGCAAACCACAAAAGCAAGCCAGAGAGGCAAACCACAAAGGCAACCACAAAGGCAAACCACCAAAGGCAAACCCACAAAGGCAAAGAGAGGCAAACAACAAAGGCAGCCAGAGAGGCAAACCACAAAGGCAAGCCAGAGAGGCAAGCCAGAAAGGAAATTCAAAGAGGCAAGCCAGAGAGGCAAACCACAAAGGCAAGCCAGAGAGGCAAACAAGAAAGGCCAAGCCAGAGAGGAGAAGGCAAGCAGCAAGCCAGAAAAATTCAAAGAGGCAAGTCCCCCCCCCCCCGCCATCAACCACGACGGCGGGAAATGTGAGCGTAACTTTCGGTTGTTTACGTCACTCGGCCGCGAAGAGAAAGTCGCGGCGGTAGTTTCGCTACGTGACGCTGCCAGTCACTCTCGAATAAAAAGGCGCTTTAAATGGAAGGAAAACAACTACAGGCGCTCGCTTAAAAACATTACAAACGCACTCGACATGAAAAAAAAAGTTTAAATAGAAGGAAAACAACTACACACGCACGCTTAAAAAAAAAAAACATTACAAATGCACTCGACTTAAAAATTACTCTTTAAATGGAAGGAAAAGAACTACACGTCCGCGCTTAAAGACAATACAAATGCAACCGACAGAGAAATGAAACGCATCTATACATCAAATCGAAATAAAAAAAAAAAAAAACAGCTTTCACAATAATGACAACAGCAACGCAAATCCACGCTTAATCCGAAATAAAAAGCGTTCTTTATGTGGAAAAGAAAACTACATTTTCACATTCACATTCATTTTCTCTCTCTTTTTTTCTCCGTTTCTTTGCCTCTGCCTCTGAATCTGTCTGTCTGTGTCTGTCTGTCTGTTTTTTTGCCCGTCTGCCTGCCTGTCTTTCTCTCTCTCCCGAATTTTCAATTACGTAACTCCATTCCCTCGAAATTCCCAGCAAAACAAAAAAAGGATTACAGTAAAAAAAAATAATCCAAGAATTATTTCGGTAAAACATACTAATACCAATAAACAAAATAGAAAAAAAAATCGAAAAATAAATAAGCCCGAAAAAAAAACCGATTCCTTGGCTTCCATAATTCCTCTTATTATTGCAGGTCATACTCGTAACATACGGTCTGTCATGCGGAAGAACAATGCACATAAAGTCCCAGAAATAATATGCATTAATATGGGGTCATGCAATCGGCCATTCTCTCCTCCCCTTCTTTCGTCTCCTAAGACCTCTTCCCCTTGTTCTCGCTCTTTTCTTCCGTTCCCCTTTCCGGTCTTCCTTTCCCTTCTCACTTTCATTCTCTCATCGTTTGTCTTTCTCCTGTTCCTTCGCCTTCATATCCTCTTTCGCTTATCCCTTCTCTTATTTTCTGCATCCTCCCCCTTCCTTTCCCTTTCCCTTCCTCCTCTCCCCCACTCTCCCCTCCTTCCTTTGCCTCCCACTCCCCCTCACTTCTCTTCTTCTCCTTCCCTCTCCCTCCCTCCATCCCTCCTTGCCTTCCCCTCCCACACGAGCCATGCAAGGGAGGAGAGTAACCTGGGTTCACCTCCCCTTGCATTTTGCATCAGCCCTGCATATCTCGCCGGCGGGGAGAAGGAGGGGATGGGGAGAAGAGGGGGAGAGCTTGGTGTTGGGAGAGGGGATGGGGAGGGCATGAGGGTGGAGGTGGGGAGGAGAGGGGGAGAGCTTGGTGATGGGGAGGGGACCGCCATGGGGAGAGCGGAGATGGAGGTGGAGATGGGAGAGCTTGGTGGGGAGAGGGGATGGGGAGGATGGGGTGGAGATGGGGAGATGAGGGGAGAGCTTGGTGATGGGAGGAGATGGGGAGAGGAGAGATGGGGAGATGATGGGGAGAGCTTGGTGATGGGAGGAGATGGGGAGAGGATGGGGTGGAGATGGGGAGATGATGGGGAGAGCTTGGTGATGGGAGAGGGAGAGCTTGGGGAGGAGATGGGGAGGGGACGGGGAGCGAAGGTAAGTCTCAAGATAAGTGACCCTCGACGTCCAGAAGTCCCTCGTTTGGTTATTTCTACAACATTTCTACAATTTATTTAGTATTACTATTATTTGTCTAATGTCTGTATATCTTTATTTTTTTCGTTCTATGACTTACTTTCTCCTACCTGCCCTATCTATCTCTCTTTTTCTATCCTCTCAACTTCTCTTGTCTCTCTTTCCCTCTTCATTCCACTCTGTCTCTCGCTCCTTTTCTCTTTTTCCCTCCTCCTCCTCCTTCCTCACGATGTTCGCCTTCCACACGCTCTCTCTCTCTCTTTTTATCTTACTTTTGCATTCTCCTCTTTCCTTTCCTTCGTCTCTCCCTCTCTTCTGTTTCTTGCCTCTCCTCTCTTTTATCCATCCATCTCTCTATCTCCATCTTCCACCATCTTCCTCTCTCTCCTTCCCTTCCTTCCCCTTCTCCTCTCCTTTTCCTTCTCTTCTCCCACTCCTTCTTTCTCCCTCTCCTCCCTACTCCCCCTCGCCTCCTACCCATCCCCCCCTATCCCCCAACCCCCACCACTCCTCTCTCTCTCTCTCTCTCTCTCTCTCTCTCTCTCTCTCTCTCTCTCTCTCTCTCTCTCTCTCTCTCTCTCTCTCTCTCTCTCTCTCTCTCTCTCCCTCACATCGAACCCAGCGCTTCCTTCCCCACGATTCCCGGCGAAATAAAAATCAGGCATCCATTAGAGACGAGCCGGGCCTTGGGGCGGGGGCGCTACAACACACGTAGAACTACGCAACTGCGCGAACTCACGACCTAAAATAATAACAATAATGATAATAGTAATGATGATGATGATAAAATCAAAATAAACGGGAAGGGGGGGGGGCGTACAGGTATACACACTTATACACATGCGCATCTGTGGTGACGTATGGCGTACGTGAGGGGAAACGTGCGTACTTATGTGGACGAAGCAACCCTTTCGAGACAGACAGACTGACATAGACACACAGACATAGACACGACACAGACAGACACACATAGACATAGACATCACACATAGACATGACAGACAGACAGACAGACAGACAGACAGACACACACACACACCACACACACACGTACTAAAGACAAAAGCCGTGTCTCCGTTTCGCCTTTGTATCTTCGAAATAAACATCGGAAATAGACGCCAACTGCAATAAAAACGCTTGCTAAAAATTAATAAAAATTCTAAAAATAGTGATCGCGGGACTCGGCTTAGTTTAAAATGGACGCTACACTAAAATGCTTCGACATAATAAAACCCCCGCGTGACGTTTACTAAAAACGTATAAATCACGACAGATTCACACACACACACATACATGCTCGCTCTCGCTCTCGCGTCTCTCTCTCGCGTCTCTCTCTCTCTCTCTCTCTCTCTCGCGTCTCTCTCTCGCTCTCTCTCTCTCTCTTCTCTCTCTCTCTCTCTCTCTCTCTCTCTCTTCCTCTCTCTCTCTCTCTCTCTCTCTCTCTCTCTCTCTCTCTCTCTCTCTCTCTCTCATTTACATAAATGTGTATGTCTGAATATATGCATTTATTCTTGACTCTATGTATTTATGTAAGCACATAAAGCGAGTGGTGCGAGGGAAAGAGACGAGACAACTAAAAGAGAAAAAAAAAATAACAAAATAAAAATCTAGTAAAGGAGAGCAACAGAAAAAAAAATACAGATACACAGACAGACCTAAGAGTGTGAGTTTGCGTTTGCGTGTGTATCTGCGCGCGCGCATGCTGATGCGTGCGTGGGTGTACATGTGCGTTTGCGTGTTGTGTGTCAGCCATCATAGGTACGTGTGTATCCGTCTGTCTGCGCGTATCTGTGCGTGTGCGTATGTGTGTGTGCGTGCGAGTGTGCGTGTGCAAGTGCGTGTATCTCGCCATCATGTACACGAGTAAAAAAGAAAGAAAACAAGAGCGTCCGTCGTCGGGCAGCATTGAAATCCCGTCACGTAAGGACCTCCGGCCGTTGGTAATGTATGCAAAACACGCCCCAACGACCTGTCAACCCCAGTCATTTACCAGGCTGGTCCTTCAGCGCATCCCTCAAAGCGTCTATGAAGAGGGGAGGAGGGAGTGGGAAGGAGGGGGGAAGAGGGAGGGAGGGGAGGGAAAGAGGGAGGGAAAAGGGGTGGGGGGAAGGAAGAGGGAGGGGGAAGAGGGAGGAAGAAAAGGAGGAAGGGTAGGAGGGGAAGAGGAGGGAGTAGGAGAGAGAAGGGGGGTAGAAGGAAGGAGGAGAAAATGGGGTGGGGGGATGGATGAGGTCTGAGGAAGAAAGAATGGAAAGAGAAAGATAAAATGAGGGAAAGAGAAGGGGAAGGGGATAGGAATGCAGAGGAAGAGAAATGGAAGAGGGGGAAGACAGGGAGGAGGGAGGCGACAAGAGGGGAGGAACTTATGAAGCACGAGGGGAGACAAGAACAAGGGGAGAGAGAGGGAAGGACGAAAGCTGAAGAGGGATATGGAAGCGAGAGAGGACGTCTAATAACACGGGAAAACAGAATGTAGAAAAAAAATAAAAATAAAATGGACAAGAAAATATAATCGAAGAAAGAAAAAAAATCTGTAGACCCGAGAGGCAAATAAGAAAGGCACCAAAAAAACAACAACAAAAAAACACACAATAAAGGGGGGAAGAGGAGGACGACGATAAACACACGACGCACAGAGAACAGAAAACAAGTGGCGCAAAATACAAGTACACGCCAAGTCATAAAGAATCGCTCGGGGGCTCTTTTTTTTCTCTCTCTCCCCCTT